GCATGCACCACCACCACCACCATCATCCAGCTGGAAAATCCAATTTCTTTCTGTTACAAGCCACTTTTTCCACTTCTTTTATGTAAACATTAATCACTACTCATTTTGTTCTGGAGTTCAATGTGCACTGGGGCTTGGTTTCCGATCGATGACATGCCAGTTTTTACAAAGTGACCTGTAACTAGTTAAGTGGACTCCCATACACAAAGGATGGGATACAAGACAATCTGTAGCACATATTGCCTCAGGTTTCAGGGTGGAGACACATGGCTTTTATGAAATGACAGGTCTTTATAAAGGCAAACAATTCTGTATTTAACTAAAAAGTATTACAAACACTACCTCACAGCTAATCACTAAGAATGTATAAGCCATCTGGCTTATAATGCAGGTTAAATTCTGTATTTTATTTTGTAGCAGCAAGACAGCCACAGCCACACTTTCAAAGTATTAGAAGGCTACACAAGATACCCATCTACTGCTCACCATCTATATTTAAATGACAATTTGAAGAAGTTCTAAGAGGAGAAAAAAACCATTGATGGGAAATTTTTGACTTAATAGTTTTAAGACCAAGATACTGAGGGGCAAGTTAGAAGACAGAGAAGAGTGATTCTGAATTCTTCTAAATTGTTTTTATTTTTAAAACCTCACTTTATGTGTATGAATGTTTTGTCTGCATGTATGAACATGTATCCCATCACTGGAACTGGAAATGTGGATGGTTGTGAGTCACCATTGGGTGTTAGGAATCAAACCAGGTCCTCTGCAAGAGCAGCAAGACTCTAAACCTATGAGCTATCCTCTAGTTCCCAAACTGATTTTTAAGATCTTTATGCTAAAACTGTTATTAGAATAATCTGCAGAGAAAGTTGTTCTCTTTCACAATGTGCAGCTCCAGGAGAGATGCAAATGGAGAGGTGAGGGAAGGGACCGACCAAAAGGTGGGTCTGCCCCTGCAAACAACTGGGTGGCATGATGCACCCAGAACACCCTCATGTCCAATAGGAACAAACAATCTCTTCAATGCTTAAAACATATCAGAACCTGTGAACAGGTTTTCTCAAATCAGTTGACTATTACAATATCCATTTTTGCCACGAAAGAAATTTTTTGGTTTTTTGAGACAGGGTCTATCTGAACTTCAGATCCCCCTGTTTTACCTCCTTAGTGCTTAGGGCTACAGAGTTAAGGTGCACATTGCCATACCTGGCTACTGACTGAATCCAGAGCCTTGAGTGCTAGGCAAGGCTCCACTTAGTTAAGTCACCAGTCCCCCTGTAAATCCTTACCAGAGGCAAATCTAGTAGCCTCAGTTAAATAGGAGTTGGGAAAACAGAACCACAAATTCAGGTTTATTAGGTATTTACCTGGAATAAAGTACTCACCAATACCTCCAGTCCTTAAACTATCTCTTTTCATTATAATCAGACTACTGCTTCAATATAGGATTTTTTTTGTTTGTTTGTTTGTTTTTGTTTTAAGTCAGGGTCTCACACTGAGTAGCTCAGGCTGGATTTCAACTCACAACTCTCCCGACCCAGCCCTCAGAACTAGGATTGCAAGCAAGTTGTCACCAGGCCTGGTTCAACCTTGAGGACTTTATTTTAGGGAATTCAGGTCTAAGGTCAGTGTGGAGAAAAGATTAGATACAGAAAGCTAAAGGCTGGGAAAAGGATGTCAAGGAACAGATGACAGGTCCCTCAATAAACATGGGGAGGAGGTCTGGGAAGGCACAGGCCTGTATTTCCAGCAAGTAGGAAACTGAGGCAGGAGGAACAAAAACAAAATCCCCAAACACTGAAAGAGAAGATAAAAGTTTACCTGGGGGTGGTGGAGGTGGTATAAAAATGTTTAAGAGCTAAAAGACCACTGAACTGTATAGGGATTATTTATTTATTTTTTAAATCCCAAGCACCAAATACACCCTGTATTTCTAAGACTGGAGGCTATATTAACAACCTTCTTTCTTTGAGAGGTATGGTCTCCTACGTTGCCTAGACTCATCTCAAACTCCTGGGTTGGAATGATCCCCACATCCCAGTCTCCTGAGCAGCTGAGAAATAGATGCATACTAAACAGTTGGCTTTTTTGGTAATTGTACTAGATATTGAGAAAGCTTTAGATATTTGGCAGAGAAAATTCCTACTGATAATAAGTTCCTGTTTTCTGCAAGAGTGCTAAGATTGCTAACACTTTGAAATAATGGATGGGAGTCCATAACACTCAGACTTTGCTAATCATCTAATATGTTAATTTATTTTATTAAGGGCTTTCATGGTTATATAATCTTTCCCAGTTCATAAAAGTTTTCAGATGCCTTAAGATGTTAAATACATTTAACACTTTATAAAGACCATTTTTTTTTTTCTTGCTGTGTCATCATGCAGTGCTGTTACTGTGAACCAACTACAATACAAATCAGTTTCTCTGCTTCTGTCCTGGGACTTAGCTCTTTCAGTACCAGTCCTCTTTGTAGAGAGACTGATAACTGAAAACTGAATCTTTCACCCTGTTTTGAGCAAGTGCCATGGTTATACTCTGATCTGTAAGGCTGATGATATCTGTTGCTAGGTTCAATATTTTGGTACTATAACTTCTGCAACACGAACATCTAAAATGACACACCATGGCAAACTTGAATTGCTTTAATAACTTTGTGGAGCTGTGGCAAGACAGAAAGAGGACTTGGGGTCAAAAAACATCAAAACACAGGATACAAGGACAATTTAGCATTTGCAATACAATGCCTCTTGATCCAACATCCTTGTTTGCTCTGCAGGGGAGTACAAAAGTGTTCCTGGCTTGGGCAATGAGGGAGTGGTAGGAAGAAGGAAGGGTAGGAGAATGACTGCATGGAAACTGCATTGGAAATTAGAGGACGAAGTGGTTCCAACAGCTTCTAGCAGAGGGAACTACTGAGCTAAGGGGCAATTAGGCTCCAAAGGTAAATCCTAGAAGTGGGTGGGCTCAATGCAAATTTGGTAAATCATTGAACCCTTAGCCACAACCTTTGTTCTAGCACTGGGAACACCACCACAGCCTCGGTTTTTACATTCTACAATTTGCCCCCCTTTAATCTCAGCTGGTAGCAAAGACTACTGGATAAGAGGCAGACAACGGTCTAGTACAGTAGTTCTCAACCTGTGGGTCGCTACCACTACGGGGCGCACATAGTGTAATGTCTTCTTCACGATTCCCAACAGTAGCAAAATTACAGTTACGAGATAGCAACGAAATAACTTTATGGTTGAGGGTCGCCATAACAGGAGGAACTGTATTAAAGGGTCGAAGCATTAAAGGGTTGAGAATCACTGGTCTAGTCCAAACTCCCGCGTGCTCACTTGCCAATCAAACCCCCATCAAGGCAACTCAACAGCAAAAGAAAAAAAGGTGGTTTCCTTTTACTCATAGGTCATTTTTTAAAAACGCACCTTTAAAGCTGTATTGTGAAATGGAGAGAAAATGAAAAAAGGTTTTTACTTGCCTAACGAAAGCAATGTGAATAGAATAGTCAAATCTACACACATCCAAAGAATTAAGCCACAGAATACCTTGAGGACTACCAAATTTAACCGACTCAACTCTCTTTTGCCGAGGCTCAAATCTGGTACTAGCCAGGACAAGAACACACCCCCAGGGCTATTTCATTCTATTGGCTGGCAGGCCGTTCTGTAGTTTACACCCTTTAGATTTGTCAGGTCGCCCTATGTTTGTCAGAGACGTTACCCTGCTGGAGTTTTTTTTCCCCTTGAGGGGAGGAAAAGGGTACAACACAAAAAGTCATCAGTGTAAAAATCCTACTAATTTATAAGATTAGTAAGCTCTGCTGGTCACTAAAACTTTCTGGATTCCAACTCCAGAAAGAAAACCATTTTTTTCTCCCCTGTTCTTGTATCACCGGCCTTTGGTGTTACGGGCTCACGCTGGGTGACAGGCACTGAGGCCAAAAGGAATCAGCATCAACAGCATCAACACAAGCAGAGGCCTGGGGTGGAGGCTTGCCCAGAAAGAAGGCTGGCAAATTACGTGGTAGTTTTGGGGCGGAAAAAAAAAAATCAGTATCCTCTAAGGCTGCCACACCCTAGGCGGGGAGCTTGGAGGGGGGCACGGCCTGCGGAGCTGGGCTGGGCCGAGTAGCGGCCCGGGCGGCTGGAGGCTGCAGGGGAAGGAGGGCGGGAAGGGGCCGGTGGGCGCTCGCTCACCTCCCTTGCAGGGCGTGCGGTGCTGGCTGTGCTGGGCCCGGTAGCCTTCGATGACTTCCCAGGAGCCGTCGTCGCGCCGGATGGGGAAGGAGAGGCTCAACACATGGTTGCAGGGCTTGATGATCCGCAGAATGCCGCGCACCCGGTTCCGCTTCTGCTCCTCGCTCTCCCGGGTCTTCAGGTCCTCCACCAGCTTGTCCTCCACGATGCTGGCGCCGCGGTCGAAGAAGCCCTCCACCATCTTGAAGAAGTTGGGGTCGTCTTCGCGGTCAGCGGCCGCCTCGCTGTAGTGGCGCCGGGAGGCTGGCGCAAGCCCGGAATGCGGGGCAGCAGAGGGCTGTCCGCGGGCCCAGCCCAGCAGCGCGGCCGAATCCGCGGCCGCCGAGCCCAGGGCGGCGGGCCCGGAGCGGGACAGCAGCAGGGCTTCTCCGAGACGGCGGTACATGGCGGCGGGCGGCGGAGGAGAGAGCGGCGGAGCAGACGAGCAGCGCTCTCAGGCCCGGACCGCGGGAGGAAGGGCTGGGCGCGCGCTGCCCTTTTAAGCCGCAGCTTCCTGCTTGCCTGGCTGTCCCCTCCCCTGCGCAGCTTCTCGCCCCACCGGGAGGACGGACTTCGGCGGCCGCGCGCCGCCCAGGGCGCTGGGCCTCCCCTCGGCCGCGGCCTCGCCAGGCCTCCAGGCGGCGGCGCGTGCGGCGGCGGCGCGCAGGCGCAGACTGGGTTCCTGCGCATGCTCGTCGGGGCGGAGCTAGAGCGGGCGCGCGCCGGCACAAGTGGGAGAAGGTTGCTCTCGACTGCGGGCAGGCCGCGCGCTCACTCCGGCCCGCAACCCGGACCGCATGCGTGTGCGGAACCGAGTGTGCGGGTTTGCGGCGCGGCCGGCGGGAGAGCGACGTCCAGCAGCTGGGGAAGCAAGAAGCCTTAGGATTAGAGGGCTCCACTGGCCTTTACTTTGCGCAAGGTTTTGATTTGTTCTGTTCAGCGATTTTGAGGTAAAATAGTAATGCAAAGCACTGTTGTCTCTCTCGTGTACCGCCTTACTCATTTAATTTTTTAAAGTCAATTTCGCTCTGTAGCCCAGGCTGCCCAGAAACTCAATGTAACATGCCTGCTGCAGGCTCCCCGAGTGTTTGGATTACAGGCTTGTGTTACCACGCCTGCACATTGTTGTGACTCTACAATAGGCTGAGTGTGTGCCTCTCCTTTAGAATGACATCCTCAAGTAAGAGAAGGTAACTAGGAAAATGATAATGCCTCCAGAAATGTCTCAGAATAAACATACATACACACGTATGTATTTACGTACACACACACACACACAACTCGCAGAGATTGGTATTCTGAGTCCTCAGATTAAAGGAAAGTGCCAGGATCTGATTTGTAAATTATACGTTTCATAATGGTAGCCAGGTTGGGTAATGCTTGCCTGGGACCCCAGGAATTGGGAGGTAGGGGCCAGAGGATTGAGTTTGAGACCAGCCTGGGCGTCATGAGGCACTGTTGTTTTTCTTTAAGACAAACAAAAATGAATCTGTACACACACACACACACACACACACACACACACACACACACACACACACGTGCTTGCAAAGGTCCAGTAACATCTTTTAAGACAAGTTACCAAATACCACATCACTAGTGAAAGAAACCCAGAGCATCTTGGCAGTTTTGTAAAAGCAAGTCTTGTCCTTCCTGACATAATCCATCTAATATGTGACTTTATTCATCTATTATAACACAGGAGAGAAATTGTTATTTTATTATTGTTATTATTTGGTTTTCCAAAACAGGGTTTCTCTGTGTAGCCCTTGCTGTCCTGTAACTCACTATGTGGACCAGGCTGGCCTTGAACTGAGAAATCTCCTTTCTTGCCTCTGTTTCCTACACTTGGCTGAGAAATTCTTTTTATAGTGTTTTGAAACTGAGGTGACAACCCTAGACTAGTTTAACGATATTCATTTACCTCAGTGTACTCTGAAGCAAAATTAATCTTTCTTTACCAGTGCTGCTTATATCTTACTATTAATTGTATTTGTATTGTGTTTTTTAGCAAAAAAGATTCTCTGACCTGCACTGTGATTTTGGTTTGATGTGAAAAGATGAAGGTACCAAATTTTCTTTTCACTTGATAATATTATCACTTTATGATTTGACATTGTAAGAAACAAACCAATCCACCTAGTCCTTGGAGCTTCAGAAGAGTAAAAACCCGCAAACATAACCCTGAACGGCACCGGTGAGTACACCGACATGGCTTTCTTTCCATGATAAAATTTGTGATATTGAAAACAAGAACTTAATTTCATCTTTCTTCTTCTTCTTCTTCTTTGTTTTTTGTTTTTTGTTTTGTTTTGAGACAAGAGTCTTACTCCATAACCCAGGCAAGTCTGTAACTCACTTTGTGGCTCAGGCTGAGATTGTCTGGTGAGCTGCCATATCAGATAATTTTCTTTCTTTCTTGATAACTGTAGCCTCCAAAATAAATAAGTAAACAAGTAAATAAATGTTTGATATTGCTTTTTCTATGGCTTAGATACCTGAATTGAAGACATTTTTGGAAGTGATGAGAAATACCAATGTAGAAATGATTTTTTTTTTTTTAAAATTGCACATCTCCTGTGTGTCAGTATCTTTAAAAAACGACTCTCAGATCAATGGGCTTGGTGGCCCTGCCTGTAATCTCAGCGCTTGGGTGGCTGAAGCAGGAGGACTGTTGTGAATTTGACATTATCCTGGGCCACTTAATGAATTCCAGGTTAGCCATCGAGACACTGTCTTTAAGGGGGAGAAAAAGCAAACAAAATAACAACTCTGAAAATCTGATAGTGTAGCTGCTGTTACTAACTTTTTTTAAAAAAATGTTTTAATTCTATATGCAAGTTACAGAAAATTTAAATAGTATATATTGATATGTTTTAAAAAATAAGAGTGGGCATGTTTTGACAACATGCCTTTGATCTCTAGCAGAGGTGGTCTTATTTCTGATTTGGAGAGGAGCCTGGCTTACATAGTGAGAACCTATCTATCCCCCTACCCCAGAAGAATGAACTTCTACAAGTCTACCTCTTTAACCCCTGTTTAGTATATAGTTGAAGTTTTCTTTTCACCCTTAAGGAGGTATTGAAACTCCTTACTTAGAGGAGACACTGAGGCTCAGGGGCACATGTAAATTGCTAATGTTCGCCTATCTAATAAATAGACTATGATTCAAACTTACATGACTCCAGAATTCTGTTACTTTTGCCTACTCAAAAATGTATATTTGCTTCATTTTGAATTACATTTGATTGCTTTGTAAAATATATGAATAATGTCTAAATTGCAGTTTTAATTATTCATATTAATTTCCATTTCAAAAAGACACCAAAATTTAACTTGAAAAGAATTGTAGTCTTTGATGGCATCCAACAAAGACAAATTGGTTTTCTGTCTTTGATGTTGGTAGTACTTTTTCTTGCTATCTTACAATTTTGCCCTGTTTTTGATCTATATAGTACTCTTTTGTACTTCTAAGTCCTTGAAAAAGATTTGAGAAGAATGTTAGAATTTAGACATAGAACATAAAAGTATATGAGCAAAAAAAAAAAAAAAAAAAAAAAAAATGGATGGCTTATTTAGTTTGGAAGGGTTGTATATATTTTCTATTCTGTACATTTCATTTAAATGTAGTCATTCAGTATATGATCCTCAGATGTTTTAAAAATATATTAATGTAGCCATTTCATTGCCTGTACCTATCTTCTCTTTTTCTTTTATGACCTATCACTAAGCTATACCCATAGCTGTTACATTTTTAAAATTCCTTCCCTCCTTTCTTCCCTTCCTTTCTTTATTCTTTTTGAGTCATGGTTTCATTTTATAGCTTAGGATTTGCCAACAACTTCCTATGAAGCCCAGTCTATAGCAATCTTCCTACCTCAGCCTCTTAAGTATTAAGCTTATAGGCATGAGCCTTGATGCTCGGATTGTCGTTTTGTTTTGTTTATTGAGATAGGGAGGGTCTCACGTATTGTAAATGGCTACAAACTCACTTTGTAGTTGAGAATGACCTTGTCCTCCTGATCCTCTTGCTTCTTCCTTCTAAGTATTGATATTACAGGTATGTGCCAACTTACTCAGTTCCCTTTTATTATTGAATTATGAGAATTATTTTGGTACATTTAAATCCTTTCTCCTATATGTGTTTGCAAGTGTTTTCCTTCTTTCTAGTGTTATCTTTCCTTCATATGTGTATATAATATTAAATTCTCTGGAAAATAAATTTACTAAACATGTCTATATATCTTCATTTCATTCATTCATATGCCCATTCTTTTGTTTGTTTTTTGGTTTTTCAAGACAAGGTTTCTCTGTATTGCTTTGGAGCCTGTCCAGGAAATAGCTCTGTAGACCAGGCTGGTTGCTGTTTTTTATTTTATTTTTCAAGACAGAGTTTCTTTGTGTAGCTTTGGAGCCTGTCCTGAAATTCACTCTGTAGACCAGGCTAGCCTTGAACTCAAAGAGATCCACCTGCCTCTGCCTCCCAATTGCTGGGATTAAAGGCGTGCTTCCTCCGTCTACCTCGGTCCCACTCGACCTCTTTCTCTCTGCCCATAGGGTCCCCTCAGCCATTCAATGAAATAACCACTCTGAGGCTTAATACCGGTTACAATTGTTTAGCCAATGACTTAGGCTTCTTATTGGCTAGCTCTTGTCTATTAATCTGTGTATCACCATGTGACCTTGACTTATTTAGGTGATGCCCTGGTGTCCTTCCTCCACGGGGGTGAAGGGGGTGTTACATGACATCTTCTCATGATATCTTCCTTCTTCTTGCCTCTTTGTTTGGAATTCCCACCAAGCTAAATTCTGCTTCTCCATTGACTGAAACAGCTTTATTCATCAAACAATAAAAGAAAAATATAGTCACAGCATACAGAAGGACATTCCCCCATCACCTCCCCTTTTCTAAATAAAAAGAAAGGTTTTAACTTCAACATAGTAAAATTATATATATAACAAAACAGTTATCAAATAAGAATTATAGTTATTATAGTTAAAATATTTAGTTAATTTACATTTGGCAAAATTTAAAGAAAATACTCTATTATCTATCATTGTGTGTCTAAAGTAGTATATCTAATTTATTTTTTATTATAACAAAGGAAAACAACTATAAATCTTCAACTCTAAAGACTCCAGAAGGATATAATATTACTTAAGTAAACAGGAAGTATGTTGTAAGCAACTTTTAAAACTCTGGAATAGACAGACACATCTCGCTGCCTGGACAGTCACCTAAAGCTCCTCTGCAATATTGGGGCATCCATCTTCAGTCCACAGGCCCATAGTATCTGGCAGACTTTTCATTGAAGCAGGAAATTTGAAGATCTGTTCTGCCTTGTACTGGCAAAGTTTGTCAGTTGCATTCTTCTGTGTCCTGTAGAATGTCTGCCGTTTCTTCTGAGAAGCAAGAACCCTGAAGGACCATCCCACCTTATCTTGGCAAGTTTAGTAGTTACCCTCCCGTGGTTCCTGCACATCCAGTTTACATAGCATATAGTCAAGTAGTCCAGGCAAGGGCAATTTCTTGTCCAAATAGCTGTACCTCCCACATTGAAGGCCAACTCCATAAGGAGTTTCTTCGATGCCCATCATCATCCCTGAGTGCTGGCTTTATAGTTTTCTTCCTCCCTCTGTCCTTCCCTTCTTTCATTGTAGATTTGTTCTATATTCCAAACTTGTTCTTTTTTGTGATTGGCTGTTCTATGCCACTTGAATTTCCATGTGAATTTTAAGATCTTGCTGATCTGTGTAAAGAATTCAGAATTATGATGGGGATTATGTGGTATCTATAAGTTCTGAAATGTTATATGAGAATGTAACCATAAAATTTGTTACAGTAACAGAACTGGTGCCTCAGTGGTGAGAATATCTCAAACTCTGAGCACGTTGGGATCAGAAATAGAATTAAAAATCATAAAGACTTGTTAGGATATTTTGGATTTAT